AGCATCATCGCTCGTCTGCAAGTCATTGGCGGTGCCGGATCCGTGTGCATTGAGAAGTTCGAGGACTATCCGCAGATGGGTCGCTTCACCCTCAGAGACCAGGTTCGTTGCGCCTCGATTCCAATATTTTTTCGGCTTACCTGATAACTAACACATGGGGAATAGGGACAAACCATTGCTATTGGCAAGATTACGAAGCTGATTACGGATGAGACATCCTAAGTTGATACCAGATGACACGAAACCCACGGCTGACTTCAGGCGGAGGAAGGGAGCTGAGCGCTTCCTTGGATATGGCAGGCGTAAGGAACGTTCGCAGGAACATGATGAACTTGTTCCTGGGCCATGACCACTATGCATAGAGAGCAGCGCGGAAATGTGGTAAAAGGAGAATAACGCGACGTCATGGGAAAAAGGGGGCGGCCAATGCCGTTGATACGAACCGGGCCGCGAAAGGCTCGGGTATGATAGACCCCGTACGTGGCATTTTCGGAACAAAGAGGATTGGGGAGGGTAAGGGACGGGGGGGAGAAGGGTTCTAAAACTCAAAATCAATCTCAAACCTTGTCAAACAAGCGCATGACGATGGCTTCACGTTTTGACCCTGTGTATGTGATGTGTACGGAGGGGGCGACTGGCTACCTATGTGCCGCTGCGTGAATCAGGATTGACGGAATCCGAGGTGACTGCATGGAACTCTTTGGACTTCCGATAGATTCCGATGATAAGGGCAATCCTCGGGTGGCAGCGGACAAAAAGTCGAGGAGTGATAAGATATGGTCCACCCCGCCCCCGCGGTATCGGCAGCTCCGAGTTATTCTCGTGCTTGGAGGGGGGAGGATCTCTGGGCCCAGAGCCCCCAAAGGCCTCCCCGACTTTAGAGGACATGGGTATTTGGGCAGAAAAAAGAACAAGTTGGCGTGTTGTGGAGCCGAGATATGACGGACCACGGCAATCTTCTGTGGGGACGTAGCGGAGCCGAAGGGGGGGGGGATCCGGCCTAACGGAGGCGTGCCAGTTGTAACTGACTGACTTTATTGACGACGCGATGGGCAGCGCTGTCAGGGTGTGTAATGCGTTTGTTCCGAACCGTCAAGTCACGTTGGAGGCTGGCGGGGAACGACATCGTGGGGTTGGGTGGGAAGAGCCTGAGAGATGGGAGTTCGCGAAGTGGCTAGGCCAGTCCACGGAGACAAGTCTGGAGTCTGGAGATGCTGCAATCTCATTTCTTCTCTTTTGGTCCTTCCTCCTCATTACCCCAGAGAATTTCGAAAACGTGCAAGTTCCGAGTGACCACTTACCCCATGCTTGGAATGTACGCTGTACGGGCTGGAAGGCTTGGCCTGGGCAAGGTGAGTCGGTGACTCCTTTTCCTGTCCGTCACATGGCTCTGGGGGAACGAGGCTAGGTACGTAATAGTAGCGACCCGTCAAAGCGAGTTGAACAAAGTATTGAGTATTTCTCGTAAAAGACACCCCCCCCCTCCCTAGGTTTGGGTTAGTCACCTAGGTACTAGGCATGCTCAGGCACAGGAATTTACACAAAATATGACGGAACGGCCATGGGATCAATATTCAGCCCCAGTGGCTCCTGGAGTCCTTTTGCTTGACCGCACCCCCTGCATTGAGTTGTGTTATAGCCCTGAGGGAACAGCAACAAACTGCACACGAGACGACAGTCGCACACTAGGTAATGTCCTTTTCTCCCAATCTATCGCCTCTGTTTAGTTGAAAACTCGGGCCAATATGATACAACCAAGAAACCTGGTAAAGACAGAGGAAAAAGCTGGGAATTCCGAAGCAAAGAGTCGGGAGAAGTCGGAATGCAAAGGTGAAGGTCAGCCTTTGTGCTTCCAGGGTATCTTTCATTGGTCAAGGCACGTGGGGCGCGGGGTAGTCTGCGCTAACATAGGTATCTAGGTACCTTGTAGCCGGACGGATAGACAATGGAAGGTGGAGCTTGCTCGGCTATGTGGAGGGGCAATTTAGAGGGAGGGCCCCGGAGGGGGGGAGGTTTTGAAGCGGGGCCCAGGCGGCTCTCGATGTGAGGTAGCAGCAAACCTGAACGTCATCTTTTGGTCAGATTTCGGGGCTCATCCCGTTCCAAAACCTAATGGGTTGAAATTGTGCATACGAGTAGGCACATGGCAGATTCAGAGCCCATGTTTCTAATGCTTTTTTCCCCTTGCACATATACAGATACCGTAACTCGTTCCCGTGAAAGCCCGATCGAGAGACTACGGAAGACCAGGGGGGGGTGGCCATGTTATGAAAATGGAGACCAAGGCAACTTTACCGGTAAGTGTTTCCGTTGCTCGCATTGCATTGCCGCGACGCGTTGGCGGGGTTCTGGCTTAACAAGACACACGCGCGCACGCACGCGCACACATTAGTCCCAACTTCTTGATATCGGAACTCGAAAAAAGTTGTTGGGGGTTCCTAATTATTATCGTGAACGTTGTTTCAGCTTTCTTTGCATTGGAAAAGAAGAGACAGCTGAACGGCACCTACGTGCCGATTTAGACAACAGCTGGAAACCTGACAGAAGGCAATTCAAAACTGATGGCGAGTATCAGAAATGGCAGACGACGGGAAAGAGAAAAAAGTGACTACGGAAGTGCCGTGGAGGGTTCAAAGACTACGGGACTGCCTCAAAGTGGGGACGAAACATGTAACGGGGAGGAGGGACGAAGAAAGCGTTAGAAACCAAGATGTATTTCGTATAGACTTTCCGTGCGAGCGGTTTCTTCTGTGTACCTAGCTCTTGCTTAGATTTGTGGAAAGATTCGGAGCCGCAACTCGCGTAGTTCCATTGAGATTTCCCAGAAACCTCAACCCGCAGGGTAACATGTTGATAGGGCCGCGCAGTAGGCAGCGTGGCAGTTTAAAAAGATCAGACCAAAAAAAAAAAAAAAAAAAAAAGAGAAGAGAAACTGGTCTAATTGTTCCCGATCCCATGTTAAACCGACCTGTCTTGAAGGCTTGGCTGCGTGTGTGCTTTTCTTGTCCCCCCTGTTGCTGGGCTCGCTGGGCTGAGCGGGAGACGGGGTGAAGGGCGGGCTGAGGCTGGAGGGTACCTACTGTACATAGGTACGAAGAGGGGGAGCGGGGGTTGCACACCTTACAACAGTAGTGTGTAGATGCGGCAAGGCACCGCGGTAATCGAACGCAGGTGTGAATCTATACAGAAAGGGAGATAGATACCTTGCTCCAGCATGTGCAAAACTGGTCGGTCTCTGACAACAGAGAAGGTAGGTGTATACGTACCGATTTGGGACGGACGGGGGGGCCAGGTACGGCACGGAACGGGTGACTTGATTCGTATGCATTTTTGCTACTGTGAGTCTGTGGTTCAGGAAACCCCGTTTCGTGTTCTATTGGCACATTAATTCGAGGTCGCTTTCTACCCGAGTTAGAGCGTTCATTCCAAGGCTGAGTTCGATGCCGAGTCAGAAAGCCGAAGTTTTGGGGCTTCCTTGCGCAAAACTCGTAGACATAATTTCGGCATTGCACGCGGCTTTGTCCGGGTTGATGACCTAAGGTGCCGGCAAGGAGGCGGCTCCCCGAATGTCCCCCCAGCAAAAGATTTGAATAATTATCCGGGTGAGCGGCGGGTAGGATAATTGATCTTCATGATCCGGCCTTCCTTTTGGCGCCGAAATGTAACGGGGTTCCCCTCCACGTTCTGATATCTGCTTTGCGCCCAATCATATCAGGGGAGTATCGTATTTTCCTGTTTAATGATGTAGCCTATCACCAATGGAGTTATTCTTCGGCCTGCCGTTTCCTGAGAAGTTGACATTGAGAGGCAAGGTAGGTAGCGGCAAGCGTGATCTGTCCCGGAGGCCGCCCGAACTCTTTCGTCTGTTGACAGATGTACCTCCATGTACCTTTTTTGCTAAACCGCATTACAGAAGACCTGCAGCCAATGACGAAGCGTCAACTGTAAATGGAGTCCTGCAGAAGACGGGCAGAAATGCAAGAGACGACCCCTTTGAATCTCTCTCTCTATGGTGAATTGGCATGCCCAACTTACGTACTTGGAAGGTGGACGGCTTCAAAGATGAGGTAAGTTAGCCAGGATTCGGGAGGACCAGGCCGACGCAACGGAGACAGACGGAGGAAGCCCGCAGATTGTGGGGATGCGCGAGCAGGGGGGGGAGGTTGGAGGGGTGTATTCTTTACCTTGGTTAGTGCAGAAGAAGGTACCTCCAAGGCTCCAAAATTCAAACCCAAGATCAAGGTGGGATTTGTGGATTGCAGGATTGTGCATCATGATAGACGCTGTCTTAGAGAACATGGTGAAATTCGTTCCCACGTTCCTTCACTTTGCCTTGCCGCAACCACTTGCAGCTGTCCATTTCCACTTTCGTGGCAGCGCTTTTCTTCCCTATCCTCCCGTTGGCTCCCCCCTAGCCCCGCGATAACATGGCCCGAAGGAAAACGACGGACAAGGTCGGGCCCTCGTTATCTTGGGACGATGAGGCAATCCGATATGCCCTCGCACTCTTCAACTTGCTGCTGCTGCAGCTGCATGTATCTTTTCTTCATTTTGTCTTTTTCCTTGCACCGCCCACACATCCCCTGGGCATACACCCCTCCCCTCTTTCCTCCACACATCTCTCCCGTACCCAGTGTATTGCACTACACGCCTCTATTCCAACCTAGGAAGCACCATGCAAAGATACAAAGTGACAAAGGCTCGAGACAAGACTCTCTCCCGAGAGTCTTCCCCAAGTCTCCCCGATTCTATCCCTATTCCTCCTCTATCCCGAACCCGCACAGGGATCTACGCCCCTCCGCCGAACCCGAGATAATATCGTGAAGCTCACAGCAACGGCAATTCGTCCAGTTACATCGGCGTCTTCACCCCCGCGACTCCACACGCCGCGCCCGTTCTTATAAGTCCAAGACCCCATTCTGGCCCTTTTTCCTATCCTCGGCCCAGCTTCAGACCCAAGCCACTCAAAGCAGCCTTGTCTACGCTTGTACCTATTCACCATCCATCTTTCACTCCATCCACCCCGGGCAATTTATTCCAGAAGTGTGGATACGATTCCTTTGCGATCCCTGAAAGCGGACGAGAACCACAAGCCGCCCTCCCAAGCCTTGACCCAAACCATCTTCACCCGATCTCAAAGACCATCCCGTCCAACGGACTCAATTCTTTATAACCATGTCGGATCCCGTCCAGAGAACTGCCTCTCCTTACACCGATCCCAAAGTAAAAGGCCCAAAGTCTCAGATTCTCGCAGAAGGAACCCAGGCAGATTTACGCAAGAGTACGTCCACACTACTACCTACACCTATCTCCGTTATATCGTCATCTCCCCCCTTATACACCCCCATTCTCTCTCCGAGATTTCCCACAACAACACAAACTCAGTTTTTGATCTCATCCTTAACAACACATGTCACCTCACCCAAAAACATTATCATTCAAATCTACCAATCGACAAATTGTAGCTAACATGGCGCCCTCAGTGATCGCTAGCAACGTTAACAAGACTCCTCTCCACCCTGGTGGTGTCGCGTAAGTTCACTGCTGTTTCTTGGCCCAACAAGCCCAGTACCTGGACGCGGTTCGCAAGAAACAGCTGGCTAACTCAATACTTGCAGTCCTCATCAGGAGCACACTGAGCTTGAGGAGGAGCTCCACGAGACCGCACACATTGACTACGACCGTGTCGCGATTATCCCCAACCCTTCGGTCCCCGCCCTCTACGAAGATGCCCTTGTCTACGAGACCGGTTCCGCCATCACATCAAGTGGTGCTCTGACTGCCTACTCTGGAAAGAAGACCGGCCGTTCGCCTTTGGACAAGCGAATTGTCGAGGAGGACAGCTCCAAGAACGACATCTGGTAAGCTCTTTTCCCCCTCAAAATCCAGAATAGTCGATGCGCGCAGCTATAGAACGGCTGGCGCTGACCATTGAATGCGTAATTATTTGCTAACACGATATTCTTCAGGTGGGGTCCCGTTAACAAGCCTATGTCACCCGAGGTAAGAGAAACCGCACCCCAGATCGAGTCATGGTGCTGTGGGCACGCTTCCCTTTGGTCCTTTGTTTGTGTGGCTCGTCATCGGTTGGATATTCGCATTTGCCCAAGACACACATTCAGCCATGGCAACTGCGCTTGTACCCAAACAGTGCCGTCTGTCACGCGATCATTCGGAGACAGCAAAAAAGTCACTTCAGAACATGTCTGGGCTTTTTTCTGCTGCAGACTCGAGAGTCGTATCCTGAGTCAGTAGCGAAACGAACTCAGGCACCGTCGAAGACTCTTTGCTGTCAATGAATGCGTCATGTTTCAGCTCGGCACTGGTACACCTGCGCGCAGCAAAAGTCCACTTACGCTGGTCCTTTCTGCACAAACCCGAGGAATTGATGCACGCGCATCGCATCGGTTCATGCCGGAGGGAACTCATCGAGATGTCCTACATCCAATGTTTTTCCCCCGGTGTTCCCCGCCAGGTTCCTCGGAGCAGTTTGCGACTGGGGGAGTGTCGTCATCAAGATTGCAACCCCTCCTCGTTCCCCCTTGGGTAACTGCGCATGAGAAAAGCAGGCAGTTGCCGGCCCCGCACTTCCAATGCAAGCCGCGCTAAACCACCTTTGCTCGTGTACCCACTTCTGTCACCCGCCCTCTTCTTCCACACCCCGCGTACCGACTTCCTTGTTCCTGCTTTTCCCGGTTCTGGACCCACACCAGCGCCCGGGCCAACCTCTCTTTGAGCATTTCGCTGACATGTGAGATTTCTAGGTCTGGAAGATCAACCGCGAGCGTGCTATCGACTACCTCAACACCAGGAACCGCATCTACGTTGTTGACGGTTACGCCGGCTGGGATGAGAAGTACCGTATTCGCGTCCGTGTCATCTGCGCCCGCGCCTACCATGCTCTGTTCATGAGAAACATGCTCATCCGCCCTCCTCGCGAGGAGCTGGAGCACTTCCACCCCGATTACACCATCTACAATGCCGGCTCTTTCCCCGCCAACAGATACACCGAGGGTATGACCTCCGGCACTTCAGTCGCCATTAACTTCGCCGAGAAGGAGATGGTCATCCTCGGTACCGAGTACGCTGGCGAGATGAAGAAGGGCGTTTTCACTGTCCTCTTCTACGAGATGCCTATCAAGCACAACGTCCTCACTCTGCACTCATCTGCCAACGAGGGCAAGAACGGCGATGTCACCCTCTTCTTCGGTCTGTCAGGTACCGGCAAGACCACCCTGTCTGCCGACCCCCAGCGCGCCCTGATCGGTGACGACGAGCACTGCTGGAGTGACCGCGGCGTCTTTAACATTGAGGGCGGCTGCTACGCCAAGACCATCGGCCTTTCCGCCGAGAAGGAGCCCGATATTTTCGGCGCCATCCGCTTCGGATCCGTCCTCGAGAACGTTGTCTTCGACCCCGAGACCCGTGCTGTCGACTACGACGACTGCACCTTGACAGAAAACACCCGCTGCGCCTACCCCATCGAGTACATCCAGAACGCCAAGATTCCCTGCATGTCAGAATCTCACCCCACCAACATCATCCTTCTCACCTGCGATGCCCGCGGTGTCCTGCCCCCCATCTCCAAGCTCGACCGCGCCCAGACCATGTTCCACTTCATCTCTGGTTACACCTCCAAGATGGCCGGAACCGAAGACGGTGTCACCGAGCCCCAGGCCACCTTCTCCTCCTGCTTCGCCCAGCCCTTCCTGGCCCTGCACCCCATGCGCTACGCCAAGATGCTTGCCGACAAGATCGAGCACCACAACGCCAATGCCTGGCTCCTCAACACCGGTTGGGTCGGTGCCGGTGCCGCCCAGGGAGGCAAGCGTTGCCCCCTCAAGTACACCCGCGCCATCCTCGACGCCATCCACTCCGGCGAGCTCGCCAAGGTCGAGTACGAGACCTACGATGTCTTCAACCTCCAGGTCCCCAAGACCTGCCCTGGCGTTCCCGACGAGCTCCTCAACCCCAAGGCCGCCTGGACTGCCGGCAACGACAGCTTCAACACCGAGGTCAAGAAGCTCGGTACCCTCTTCAACGAGAACTTCAAGAAGTACGCTAGCGAAGCGACCGAGGAGGTCGTCAAGGCCGGCCCCGTCGTTTAAAGCGCAAGCATGCTCTGAGTTGATTAGCGATCATATTTATGGATTTATGAAGGGCTTTTTTCTTTAATCGGTATATTTATGGGATTGTTCAGGATGTGTCGTCGACATGGTTCCGACACGAACATAATTGTCGCGTGGATTTGGATAACCGCGGCAAGTATTGGGATTTGGGTGTCAAAACAGGAGTGATATCTGTTCTGGGCTTCATTTCATAGAATGAGAATGAGAATAAACATGAAGCACAACAACTGTTCCAAACTTTTAGTGTGAATGTGTCAATCAATGTTTGCTACTAATATGTGTGGTATACCGGCTACAATGCATACGATCAAGCAGTATCTGTTCTCTTCCCACCCCTGTCCGTTGCCGACTGATTCTCGGTTTGCCTCTCTGAGAAAGGCAGTGTGCCACCTGTTGCCTCTATCGTGGATTTCAGTTGTAATTACACCCCTTTCAGGTCAACGTCCGCGCATTGTCAAGTTAATCGTATCTTGCGGGTAAATGGAATCGTAGCAGCTGATCAAAATTAGACAGCAAGTCGCTCTTATTTTCGTTATTCTTGGTTTATCTATTCTCTCCTCTCAGTCTAGATTCTTCTCCTCTTTCTTGTGACCCCCCCCCCCCTCCCCCCTCGAGTTCTACCAGTCTTTAGAAGAAATCTTCTCCGCCACAATCCATCTCACAGATCCAACCGGCGGCATATACACCTCCTTCCCACTCTTAAACTCCCACCCCTCGGTCTGCCCCCCGCACGACTTCATCAGCGCCTCGACCTCATCCGGCGTCCTCGTCCTAAGCGCAGAAATGTACCCGTCAAACACCAACACGAACGGGATGATCGGGATGAGGTAAGTGAAGACCAGCACCGAGAAGCTGCGCAGCCTCCAAGCGTAGAGCGGCGCGAAGATGAAGCACCCGATGCCGAGGATCGCGGGCATCAGGAAGGACAGGAGATCCCGGCCCTGCAGCTCCATGATTGCAAAGCCATCCGACGTCTCGAGGGTGTTTTTGAGGATGGCCTTGGCTAGGGGGTCGTCAAAGTGGTGAAAGGCCAGGTTGAACAGCCGAAACACTTTTTTGCCCTTGGAGGTATACCCCTCCACCAGCTCGCGCGGCGCGTTCGCGGCGTCGACGCTCTTGGGTTCGTAGCCGATGTGCTCGCTGCGCGCGGCGGCGCGCGCCCAGGACTCGGTGTTGGGGTGCAGGTCTGTGAGGACAAAGTCGACGGGGGGTTCTTTTTGGCCGGCGAGGTGGTGGTTTACGTAGCGTTCTATGGCCGGGGTGGGACCGCCGGAGCCGGCGCAGAAGTCGATGAAGGTGTAGGAGGGGAGGCGGGGGCCGAGGGTTTGTTGGAGGATGCGGGCGGCGAGGCGGGCGGGGGATGAAGTTTGGAGGAGGGGGACGCGGTAGACCCAGGCTGCGTGGAGGCCTTCTTGGACGTAGGCGCGGAGGAAGGAGGGAAACCTAGGCGAAGGAAGATTGTATTAGCTTTGAGGATGCAAAAGAGCGAGGTCTAGGGGAGGGGGATTTGGGGAGGTGGGATGTTACCAGGTCTGGTCGTCAATTTCGAAGAGGTGGAATCGGGGTACGAGGGGCGCCATCGTGATGACGTCGAGATGAAAGCTGTTGGTGTTGTGGTGTCCAGGTACTGTGCAGTGGCCGATTGAGCAGTTAATGTAGTTGATTGTTGCTGGCGGTAAGATTCTCGGCGGCCAAGATCACATGTGAAGCATCCGATGTGTAGCCTCTGGCAATCGGCTGGAGGTTAAGTAAGGTAGTTGGCGGCCACGAAGGCTTTATTACACGGGGTGCTTTTCTTGTTGAGACAAACAAGTTCGGAGCAGAATTGGGGCCCCCCTTGTGGCCCTGCCGTTAGCCGGCACGGGGTGGCGGGTGCGGGAGCTATCGCATTCGCTAGTGTTGAGCTCGAGACAGGGAAAGCTCCAGCCCGGGCATGGGTCCGACCCCCCCAGCTCCGCTAGAAACGTGCCCGCCTATCTACTGTGTAGGTACCCAGACCGTGCCTTCACATCAGTTCACCAAGATGGAAGACCTGGGACCGGTCATATAATCCCAAGGACGAGATGACCACGGGCTAGGTCGAATTGACGCATTGTTGATATTGCTGGTCTTGCTACCTTCTCGCTGTATCATGGCGTGTAAGGTGAGTGTGTCTGAGGAAGGAACATCATGATAATGGTGGGGAGCTACCTACCTTATCCTTAAAAGACAACAAGGGCCAAGGGCTTGAAGTTTCAACAGGGGGGGTAAGATATTTAGTGTAATGTGGACTCACTCGGGAGCGGTGCAATGGAACTCTGAGTTCCCCCGTCGGGGGCTTGCAAGCTACCAGTTGCTCTCCTCTCACTGGCCGACGCCGATTAAAGACGTTGAGGCCATTGGACAATTGTGTTGGCTTTCATCTTCGTCATCATATACTTCGTGGTACCATTTTCGTACTCGTTCCTTCTCAACGCCTTCCCTCAGCGCCACCTTCCCTCTTGAGGTTGAAAGTAAGTCGGAACCAAAATTCTCAGGTTCACGTTCCGAAAGGTCAAATGTTCCGGCTGAGTATTCCATTCCGGTAACTTGGACCTCGAAAGTGTAGATGGTTTCTCTGGCACATGTGGTAGTGTGAAAGTCGTCCCACGTTCCCAGGGTGGAAGATCAAAGAAGCTGCCTCGCGATGGGTCTGATCAATACCCCAACAGCCCTCGCAGTGGCCGTCATCTCTTTCCTATTATACGCCATCTTTGGTCAGCCAAAATTGAAGAGGAATGGCGTCCCATTACGGTCAGTCCACCGACTTCCAAGCCTATTGAAGCCATTATACACCACAATTCATTGGATATTGACTTTTCGCCCAGACGACCTCCCAATACACTACCACTCGCTGGCAATGGCATCATTTTCCTCAGAGACCGCCAAAAACTGTTCGAATGGTTCACCAAGTGTGAGCAACTCTACGGCTATGAAACGCTACAAATATCCGTTCCCAGTCTGCCTCCAGGGGTCATCATCAGCGATCCCAAGAACCTAGAATACGTCTTCAAGAACGAGGGCATATTTGCCAAGGGCGAGTTCTTCAAAGGGAGATCTAGGGACTTGTTTGGTTGGTGCCAGGACCGGATCCTGACCGTAAGTGTCACCTAGCTTACGGACCCACAGGGAACGGTATCATCAACGTTGATGGCGAGTTGTGGAAAGTCCAACGAAGGGCTGGCCTCAACTTTCTCAACACTGCGAACCTGAGAGTTTTGACAGACGTAGCGCTGCCGCAGTATCTATCTCAGGGTGTTGCTTTCCTGGAGAGCCAGTCCGGTAATGGCGTTGTGGACTTACAAGCTGTCTTTCACGAGATCACGACCCAACTCATCGGCAAAATGGCTTACAACGTACGTTGGCATCCTTCTACGGTCAATTCTGACCTTCATCTTCCTCTGGTGTTTAACGCATGGCATAGATGGAAATGCACGCAGAAGACACATTCGGCCTGGCTTTCGACCACGCATCTGGCGCAACTGCCGAACGGTTCCAAAATCCACTGTGGCAGCTCACAGAAGTCTTCACCGGCACTCGTCTGAGGAAATCCATCTCAGTTGTCAAGTCCTTTGGACAGAGCATAGTCTCCAGTGCGGTGAGGGACAGACGATCGTCCCTTAAACACGAGTCTCACGTTTCAAAAGACCCGGAAAGCGACAGGCTGGACGACATATCCGGCAGTCTGGTCCAGTCATTGCTCGACTCCATTGGCGACGAGCAGCTCGTCGCCGATGCCGCGCTGAATTACCTCTCCGCAGGCAAGGATACCACGGCGCAGGCTCTTACGTGGACATTCTACCTGCTCATGCAACATCCCGAGGTCGTGGCCAAGATTCGCGAGGAAGTTAACCACATCAGAGAGGATAGCACAGACGGGGACACCCTGGAGAAGGCCATCGCGGAACGGGGTAACCCGAATACGATGCCGTACGTCTTCTCCGTCTTCTACGAAGCGCTACGCATCTTCCCGCCGATCCCGTTCGAGATAAAGCAAGCCGTTCAGGCGACGACGCTACCGGACGGCACCTTTTTGCCCCAGAACTCCGTCATTGTCTGGTGCACCTGGGCGATGAACCGCTCGCGCAGCACATGGGGTCCTGACGTGGACCAGTTCCGGCCGGAGCGATGGCTGGTGGACGGGAAAGTCATCAATAAGAGCACCTCAGAGTTTCCGGTTTTCAACGGCGGACCGAGGATGTGTTTGGGGAAGAAGATGGCTGAGATCATTGCCGTGCAAGTGATTGCGACTGTGGCTGGTCTGTTTGATTGCGTGAGAGTCGATGACTCGACGAGGGTCAGCAAGAGTAGTCTTACGTTGCCGATGAAGGATGGTCTGCCCTGTATTGTACGCCGTAGACCTGATGTCTAAGTCTAATGATGAATTTGTCTTCTTCAAATTCACTATGCAATTCTCTTTAGTGATCATTCTCGACTGCTGAAGGTAACCTGGTTGCTATGAATAGCATTTACGATGTTGCTTCCAACGGGCCACCAACAACGAAGAGGGACTAATCTCGCACATCCACATCGCCAGGTCGAAAAAGAGAATGCAGGAGATCATTCCTAGATACATAAGAGATCGAAACCCAGCATCGAAAATCGCAAAAGAATTAGCACAACCTGGTTTCGATCCAGGGACCTCTGGGTTATGAGCCCAGCGCTCTACCCCTGAGCTATTGTGCTTTGATGTGGGGCTGGTTGATAAGGATAACCGCTCGAGTCAGCTAATATGAACTTTTCCCTATTCTGCGAAGGTCGAGCAAGCGCCCTAGATTCTGATGCTCCTTTGTAAAATCACCGATCAAGTCTCAAACATTGAGTAAAATGAAAACCCTGCGTTTAGTCATGCGAAAGCTTGATAACATCTCTAGGGTCTCCAGGTCTATCACTTGTTTAGCAATCCCAAGTCGTGGAAGTACGCCTGTACGAAGTATCATAAGTCAGATCATTAGCCACGCAAAAAAATAGTTTTGGGACTGTCTTTGAAAAGGATCAAATACAGAGGAACTAAAGCCTAGAATTGCTGAGTTTTAATACACATTTTTGAGTCTTCTTCTACCTACCTGAACCACCAATTCACAGAGGCATTCAACCTCCCATCATGATGCCCACTCTTGACACTATGCCACCAGCCCTTTGGAATGAAGAGAGCATTTCCCGGACTTAAATGGGCCTCTATAATATCCTCATGACTGTCCAATCCCCAAATAGCTGTGTTCATTGCTACCCTCTCCCGGCCCTCCATCATTTCCGTCGATCTGATGCGACTACTCCCCAACTGCTGAAGCTGGGTCTGTACCTGACGATACAGCCGATCGCCAGATGACGGCTGTAACAAGCGGACTGTTTTACTGCCGACAAGCTGGCAAAATAAGTTAGGGTTCGGATCGCGATGTAACGGAGTATATGTCGGTTCCAACCCGAGCCATACGCTCGAATTATAGACGTCGCCTTTACCGGCTTCCAAGACTATGCGTGGAATGGGTAGGTCTTCCTGGAGTTCTAGAGGCAGATCCGGGAGTTGGGCCTGAGCTATGTACAGCTGCTTGATCTTCTTCTCGTGCAAGCTGTTGAACTCTGCTGCCTTTAGGAGGAGTTGTAGGGGCGCAACGAAGGACGAGAACTTTGGCTCCGAGGCGTTTGGGTTGGATGCTGCGTGAACGATGCCTGCTAACACTGCGCCCATGGGATCCGGGTCAGATGCGAGCCATGCAAGGAACTGAGTTGTGGTGTTCACTACAACTCCAGAATCTTCGGTGGTCTGAGGGCTCATGAATTCGTATGGGAATATATGGTGGGCGAAGCGGTCCAGGTAGGGAGTAAATTTGGCAATTGGTCCCTGATTAGGGGCTGGAGATTGGATGGCCTCGTCTTGCGCGAACCATTTTAAAGACGCCGAGAAGGAGCTCTGATAACCGGGTTTGGAAGACTGTTGAAATAGAAGTGGCTTCCCTGGTGTGAATGACGATTTTCGGAAGTCATCAATGTCGACTGCGTCAAATGGTGACTTGATAGCATCTACCGAGTTCACCGTCGAGAACCCTCGATGAGTTTGGGGTGACCTGAGCGCGCGGCAACACCCCCGGACAAGATGCCTCATGTCTGAGAGTGAGATCGTAACCAAAGGCCAAAAATTTTCAACAGAAAGAAAGACGAACTCTGTATAGCAACACAAGTGGTCAGCAAGCTACCTACCTTGGGTTGGGAAAGAGGAGCAAGTAATTTGACTTGACATCACGTGGCTACGTACCTATAGAAAAGACATCTCGGTGAACAGCAATGGAGCAAGCGAGAGGAAGCGGTCTCACCGAAAGGACCGGCGAAGGGAACAACAGCAGGCCCGCCCACCGAAGGACTAATCGAGCGCGCACAGACCAGCACAGTGATTGGACGTAATCTCAGCGGGCTGGGCTTCGTGAGGCACCGCAGTCCACAGCCCACCCACCACAACTACAGCTTTTGCTGAGAGGCTCCAAATACCGCTTCTCTTCCCTGCCGCCAAAAAAAGGAAGGGGAAAGATTTCTCTGTATCGCAACTCAACTTTGCTAAGGGCCCAGCATCCGACCGCTCGCGACATCATCCCTCGACTCTGCAACTTCCCCATCGCCGACGTCGTCCTTCGCGCTCGACATGCGCCGCACTTGACCCGTCACGCCCACCAACTACCCCGCCACCTTTGCGCCCCTGCTGGGAGACTATCGATATCCAAAGCAGCTGTTCGGAGACCATCGCTGTCCTCCATCCGACGACTGTATCGCGCGTGCTTGCCCACGTCGCAAACCAACCCATTTTTAAACGACACCCCGTCAATACCATCACCTTGGATTACCTCGACGACATGTCCACCTCTTCGGGGGCCCCGGAGTCTTGGATATCTTCCTTCTGCTCTCTACTCGGCCATGAATACTTCGCTGAGGTTTCTGAGGAGTTCATCGAGGATGACTTCAACCTCACTGGCCTGCAGAACCAGGTCGCGATGTACAAGGAGGCACTCGAGGTATGCTGGTTTTTTTCTTTAATGCCTAAATACTGCTTTTTGCGATTGGGAACTTGATCGACCTTTTCAGCCCCCGGGCTGCGCCATAGACGTCAATACTGACTGGACCTGCACAGATGATTCTTGACGTGGAGCCTGAAGAGGACGAGGACGAAGAGGAGGAGGAAGATGAAGACGAAGACGAGAACGATTCGGGAGATCAGGCTCGACTCGGCCCCAGACACGACCGGAGACAACACAGCCGCATGGCTAGCGACCTTAGCGTTATCGAGTCGTCGTCCGAGATGCTTTACGGATTGATCCATCAGCGATTCATCTGCTCGAGGGCGGGTATTCAACAGATGAGCGAGAAGTACGAGTTGGGCCATTTCGGCTGCTGCCCTCGCACCAACTGCGACCAAGCGAGAACACTCCCTGTCGGTCTCTCTGATATTCCCGGCGAAGACACTGTGAAGCTGTTTTGCCCCTCCTGCCTCGACGTCTACGTCCCTCCCAACAGCCGTTTCCAAACTGTCGACGGTGCATTCTTCGGCCGTACCTTTGGTGCCCTCTTCCTACTCACTTTCCCGGAATACGACCTCACTAAGCGTGGGGCTGAGGTTCTCAGCAGCGGCGGTGCACGCATCAACGATGATTCACTCGAGATGATCAACGGCATGTACGCTAAGAACATTGCACCGGGCTTGGGCGCTGGACGTATATACGAACCCCGTATCTACGGTTTCCGCGTCTCCGAGATTGCAAAGTCGGGCCCTCGGATGCAGTGGTTGAGGGACAGGCCGGATGGCATGACTGAGCTGGACGAGGCGCGTCTGTATGCGGATGAGCACGATTCAGATGAGGACGACGAGAACATGAACGGCAACGGCCGGCCTACACCCCGTCGGCGTGCTCCTCCGGGTAACGCGCGTCTCCGTGCAGCGCAACGTCAGGCGCAAAATGGCAGTCCTATGGCCGTGGAGACGAATGGCGCAGAGTCGGAGCTTTAGGTGTTGGTTTGGAAGATTCGTACTTATGGGACCGGTAGTCCTCCGGGGTCGGGCGGCGGGTGTGGCGCCGCGCCGGGATGGAGGCAACAGGCCAGCGAAAGAAAGATGCGGTGCAGATCGAGCGAGACGGTCAAAACGGCTGCCCTGCATAAGGTAGATGGCGTTTAGGAGGCACATCCCGATCTCCGTTGGTGAAAGAGGTACGGCGTTGCTAAGGGAGATGCATTACTGAAGTAAAGAACTCATGCCGTTACACGAACTCGGGTTTCAATTCTTTTTTTGCAGGCATTGGTGCCTGTAGTATAGGCTTAATGCGATGGCCATTGCATTTCTGGGCCTTGGGACACAGAATATAGACTGCATGCAATTCGACGGTCGAAAACAAGGACTCCTCACCCCGCCCTCGTCGCGATACAGGGAGACGATGCCTCTGGGAAACGGCTCGGCGTCATCTTTCCTTGTAGGCAGCAAAGGCCCACGTGAAACCCGTCTCTTCCCCATTGGATACGCAACTCGACGTCCACACTGTGTCTTCCACTTCAGTGCATCTGCTGGCTCGGATCTGGCTGCTCGCAGCGTAGTAATGGGCCAACACTCTCGATCCCACCCCGCCCCCTCCTCTTACCACCTGCTCCTCTCCTCCCAGCCGCATGTATCTGCGATCGCCATCATGCTCAATGCCCCAGACGATCCTCCTAGACCCACCAAACTCATGCGGAAAGGAGTCGATGAGAGGACTATACGACTCCGGGTGAATGCTAGACAAGTCTACAATTGAACTCCTGTCTATTTACCCTACGTCTGCTATTTACCCGGATGATGTCACCCTGTACCAACGATGCGGGGGACTGGTACTGGGCTTGTTCGTTGTTAGATCGCCCGAGCAGGTTTACTGTGATTGCCATGGCTCTCCAGTTCGCCTATAAGTCGCCCAGGTAGTCTCGAAGATACCTACGAAGTGTCATGTTATAGGGAAGGGCATTTTATATGCATTGTAGTAGACAAGATGTTGTCACTTGCAATAGCAGCCGTGTGGTTGACCATTTCTTCAACCACACTGGGATCCAACTCGACCTTCTACAACCCAATAATTCCAGGATTCCATCCAGACCCTAGTTGTATTTTCGTCCCTGAGTGGAATAATACCTTCTTCTGCGCATCATCCAGTTTCAATGCATTCCCCGGCCTTCCCCTTCATGCTAGCAAGGACTTGCAGAATTGGAAACTAGTCGGTATGTTCTGATGACTTGAGAGGGTAACGTTTTCACTTACATAGTCTAGGGCATGTCTTGAACAGAAGAGAACAACTCCCTAGACTCGCGGAGACAAATCGGTCCACGAGGCAAGTTTCCTGATGTCGAAATGCGTAGCCTGGCTGACGCAATGAAGTGGCATCTGGGCGCCAACATTGCGCTACCATGATGATACGTTTTGGCTTGTGACGACTCTCGTAGACGATGACAGAGACGCGGCAGATGCTTCGAGATGGGACAATGTATGGTCCCAATCCACGCTCTCTTCTTTGACGTTTTCTGATTTACCTCTTGGTTCAAGATCATCTTCAAGGCGCGAAATCCCTTTGACCCGGAATCGTGGACCGACGCAGTTCATTTCGAGTTTGAAGGGTATGATACGGAGCCATTCTGGGACGATGATGGAAAGACGTATATCAATGGTGCCCATGCCTGGAAGATTGGGTAAGTGTTGCGGATATGAGAATCCCTCTGACGAGAAGTGAGAAGTCAAGAAAGCTAAAACTATGGGGAAAAGGCCGTGGATTCAACAGGCGGAGGCCAATCTGAACACCGGTCAAGTTGGTGAATGGAGAACTATCTGGAATGGAACGGGCGGCTTGGTCAGTGAGAGGAACCCTGAAGGTTTCGGCTGGACTAACAACGAGCTAGGCACCGGAGGGACCACACATATACCGTAAAGATGGCTACTACTATCTACTGGCTGCTGAAGGTGAGTCCAGATGAACAGTAAATGTGTCCAGAGAGCTGATAGCGGATTGATAGGCGGCACTGGACTCGGTCACATGGTTACGATGGCCCGCTCAGAGAATGTTGGCGGCCCGTACCAGTCAAACCCGCTGAACCCTGTCTTGACCAATGCCATCACAACCAATTACTGTTAGTAAAGCGCCAATAATGCTTTCTTTTCGGTTCTTCTTTGAAGATGAGGTTAACGAATATCAGTTCAAACTGTCGGACATGCCGATCTATTCCAAGATGCCTCTGGCAACTGGTGAGGAGCTCCACCGTTGTCCTTCAAGTAGCTAATGAGAACCAGGTGGTGCGTCGCTTTATCCACGAGAGCAGGACCAGAGTGGCTCAATTTTCCAATGGGCCGTGAGACAGTCATGACTTCGGCAACGTGGAGCGAGGGGGGATGGCCATATTTCAGCCCTATCGAAGGGAAGATGAGTGGCTGGGAAATGCCGTTAGAGAATCTGGATATTGAGGGATCTGGGTATGGATTACATCTCTTATCATCCTCATTTGGCCTCTACTAACTGGCCTAGCCAACTGATCTCGCTGGGAGAAGTCGAAGGCGACGCTCTTGACTTTGCCCCGAATTCGACCATTCCAGACCACCTCACATATTGGCGGTTTCCAATCGAAAGCTCATACACAGTCTCGCCCCCTGAGAAGCCCAATAGCTTACGTCTAACACCCTCCAAAATCAACCTTACTGCTCTCAACGGAAACTACGCGGGTCCGGAAGGGCAGACGTTCATTGGAAGAAGACAGCAAGACACACTCTTTGCCTATAGCGTCGAGCTGGACTTTCAACCCACAAAGGAAGAGGAAGAGGCCGGCGTTGCGGTCTTTCTTACGCAAAACCATCATCTTGACCTAGGTGTTGTCTTGCTGCCCGCGAGCGCGAGTACTCAAGCCTTCCCGGGCCAAAATCTGACGACAGGGAAGAATCCGAGTGATCTCAAGCTACAGTTTCGGTTTAGGGGTATATCGCATGTTCCTGCTCCTGCGAATGTTGTGGCACCTGTGCCAGAAGACTGGGCCGGTAAACCACTGAGGTTGGGTATCAAGGCGGTGAACATGACGCATTACTCGTTCTCTGCTGGGCCGGCTGGAGCAGCTTCCCAGGCTAAGACCATTGTCTATGCATCTAACGATGCAGTGAGCTGGGGATTTACAGGTGAGCCTCTTGCTGTTGCTAGAGAAGAGCTTCTGCTGACCATTCATAGGTGTCTTCCTTGGTGCTTACTCGACCAGCAATGGTGGTGCTGGAGATACGCCTGCTTATATCTCGAACTGGAGATACACTCCCCAGGGCCAGTTCAGAGATTAAGAACCACCACAGGCAGATCATGTTATTTGGAGGCCATATGTGGTCTACGAACAAGCTACGTGACGTAACTCTGCACTGACCTATTGATACACAAAGCCTTCCGAGCCCGAGCCCTCTCCTGTGATCAAGGTCGTGTGTTCACGTTCACGCCTGTACACCAACCCCGTACATCGTATGCTTCACCCTATGGCATAGTAACGAAACAGGCAAGATGGCCGAGCGGTCTAAGGCGCTAGCTTCAGGTGCTAGTCAAGTAATTGGCGTGGGTTCGAATCCCACTCTTGTCATTAAGTTTTGCTGTTCACGATGTCATCGAGATACTCAATCTCTTGGAGGACTAAGAAAGCCGTACTTTACCTAGCCAGTCACGGAATATGCATCTTTGGCCTGAGAAATCGTAGCCACGTCAAATCTGGAGGATTGACTATCCCATTTTGCCATAGTCGCTGGCCTAGTTTGAGCGTATACGGTGATTGCGGGCTTGTTGTTTCCAGCGGTTACAATGATCACAGTTATAGACGAACGTGTGGCAGATCCAAGCAGGAAGCAGTGCTACACCTACAGGTATCTAGATGAATTTCACAATTGCAAGACAGGTAGCAGCTTGCAGCTAGCTGACGGGAATTGTTGGCTCTGCTAATGTCTGCCAAGGTCGTCTCCGAAGAACAGCAGCAGCACCAGATGCGCTGAGAACGCCCGAGTTCTCCTCTATTCGAGTTCACCGCACTAGTACTCCAGGTTCACAATGCCGATTGAGATCGACGAACAGTCGTTTCAGACGTCGGAACCTCTTCCGCGCCCTTGACGTGTCACGCCATTTTGCTTGTCCAGTATCTCGGGTGACGAACTGGGAAACACATCACTATTTAGCAGCACAGCAGGCACATGCAGATGAGAAGCGAGTTTCTGAGTTATTAATCATTGATTCTACAGAGATGAATAGGTTACACGTCCTTCTTAATCTAGCAGATTTGCTGACCAATGTCAAGGTGCAAAAATCTAATTGTGTCCATGTTAGCTAGTGCTCTCATGCTAACAAACGTTTGATAAAGTTTTGCTTCAAAGCTACATTCAGACTGTTGAGCTTGATATATTTGAATCAACATAGTATTTTCTGTTGGCCGTTCTTAATGGAAGAGTTGATCATCAACGTAGCAACCCGCAAAAGGGTCTAGTGTGTGTAGAAAAAATGAGATCAAGAGCTTACCGAGCAATGCGGGTTCTGTGTGCATATTGTGGTGAGTAAGAATCCGAGGGGAAGCAGTCGCATCGCGTGAAGGCAGAGCATGGAGGAGAACCATGAACGAGCTGCGTACTGAAGTACAGTTGACCATTGAGATGCTCATAAAAGGTCGATACTCGTTCGGGTTGGGTCGTCCTTCATATCGAGGTGAAGGAGACTTTGGCTGTTGGAGGAAACGGAAAAGATTTTTTGTAGTCGATCTCAGCGGTGCACGGCCCATGCGGAGCAGGCTCGCTTACTTCAGATGATGGAGACGAGTTGAGCCTTAGGCAATTAGCGGCTCCCCGCCCCACCGAGGAACGTTTATCTGCATCTATCCCTCGAATTAAGGATCACCCCGCCATTTATGACAATAGCTGCCATTCAATTCTTGCACAATCGCATTCTAACATTTGAAGGGGTTGCCCAGTAGGTCACAGATGTCAGAACCCCCCGCTACCATCAATATTAGGGACCCAACTTCCAAGCCCAAAGACCCGGCCAGGTACTGACTGCCCTATGCCTGAAATCTGGAAGTTGCCCGACAGGTGACGTTAGGTACCTGGCCGCAGTGACGCAGTGCCCAAGGTACCTTAGCCTTCCGTTGCGTGTGCGCTGTGCGCCGCGCCCCTGCCATTCGATTCTATTGTATTAGTCCCCCGCCCCTCTTTACCCATCACCCCTCCTTCGTTGCTTAGCCTGGCGACCGGCGAAAGCTCTCCTCCGACAAAAGTCTCGATCGCTTCAAAGTCCACCGTAAACAAACCGACCCCTCCCTCCGACTCGAAACCTCCTCGTCTTCAACACAGCTACCCCTTTCAAATCAGACAAGATGGCGACCAGTAAGTCAATAATGCACCCAATCGTCCCCATCGCTGCCCCAGCTATTGTACTTGCGCGCGCGCTCGCTCTGCGTGTTGCCCCGCATCTCTATGATATTGCCGTGTTTTTTTTTCGCTCGTCATCGAGCCAAGTAAATGGGTAGATAGCTGACCGATACTTCTTCGCAGACTTCGAGGAAATCGCAAGTGAGTGCTTCCTATACCCGAAAGCCGAACAAGCCTGCTTTGCGATGCCGCTGCTTGCCCTTCGACACTGAGCATACTGACGGCCTCCGCAACGCAAACAGAGCAGTTCATCGAGTTCTACTACAACCAGTTCGACACGGACCGCAAGCAACTTGCCAGCCTCTACGTGAGAACCATAATGCCATATGAGTAATCTAGGCCCTCGCTAACATCGACAACAGCGTGAGGGGTCTATGCTGACTTTCGAGTCTGCTTCTTCCCTTGGTGTCAACTCCATCGTCGAGAAGCTCTCCGTGCGTATTTCCCGAAGAGACTCGCAAATGCAATGCGCCGCCTGTAGTCGACTTACTAACCCCTGCGCCACAGTCCCTGCCTTTCGAGAAGGTGAAGCACCAGGTCACCACCCTCGACTCCCAGCCCACCACCGAGGGCGGCATTATCATCCTCGTCACTGGCCAGCTTTTGGTCCGTATACAACATGCCTTGTGGCTGTTCCGCCATTGCAAGTGTTATCTAACCAAGAAAAACAGGTCGATGAGGAGCAGCGCCCCATGAGCTACACCCAGGCTTTCCAGCTTCTGCGTGATTCCTTAGGCAACTACTTCGTCTTCAACGACATTTTCAAGCTTGTCTACGCTGCATAAATTCTCCACGCACTTCAGGAGAGTACGATTTGATGAGGCCCAATATCTGACTTCGAGGGACTGGGGCATGGCTGAGGGCAGGATAGAAGAATCTCTGTCTACTTCGATTTCTCACTCCCTTTGATCTACGCCGGGTTGAGGCGAGCACGTTGGCAAGGATACCATTTCACGTTTCCAGGAATCCAAAGACGGCTCTGTTCATACATGGCTCCATAGAGAAATGGGAAAATACCCCTATTATTATCACATGAACTCAAAAAACCTATGACGCCCCTTGATATCTTTGCATGACTTTGTGGCCTTGATTTTGCCTGTCATTCCGTTTCCTGCGCCTCGCATAACTTTCAGTACAAGAATGAGAACCCAAAGAAGAAAATCAAACATCGCCCCCTCACTGGCTAACTTGAGACAAGTGGTCACCGTACCTAGACGGAGCCCATTGGTGTTACACCATCATCGCATTGTCGTCCTTCCCACCTTCAACGAACCTGCATGTGGGCGTCTCCGCTGTCACGAAACACGAGCTGGGCATGTTGACCGCGGACGATCTCCTCTTCCCCACCTCCGTTCTTTCCGTTCTTGATAATGCCATTCCGAGTGGCACCGGGGCCCATGGTTCCGAACCCAAGGTCGCGGATACGGCCACTGGCAATGTCAAAGATACAGCCGTGAACAGTCATACCCCGCTCTTTGATGGCCTCTTGGACGGTGAAGTTGGCCATGAGCACGTTGACGCCGGTCTCAAAGTTCATCTCAGCGATGCGGACGGCCTTGCGGTCCTCGTTCTTGATGGCGTCCAACTCCTTTGCATTTTGGGCGCGGACGGTCTTCAAGGGAGTGAGCCAGGTGTCGAGGACGCCTCCGACGCGGGAGTCGCCCAGCGCCGCTTTGGCGCCGCCGCAGGCCGAGTGGCCGCAGAGCACGACGTGCTTGACCTTGAGGTGAGCGACGGCGTACTCGATGACGGCGGATGTGTTGATGTCTGTCGGGGCCACGATGTTGGCGATGTTGCGATGGACAAAGACGTCGCCGGGTTGAAGGCCCAGGATTGTTGTCTCGGGGACACGAGAATCAGAGCATCCTAGCCACACTATTTTTGTACGGAAATCCGTTAGTCATAGGAGTAAAGGAAGAGAGCATCAACGCTAGCAGTCGTAGATGATGAACTTACAGATTGAAGGTGACTGTCCTGAGGCAAGGTTCTTGAAGAAGGCAGGGTTTTGGTGTGATTTGTATCCGGCCCAAGCTTGGTTGGAGCTCAGAGCGTAGAGGAATTTGTTCTCTTTATCCATGACGATGGAGCGTCAGCATGTTTGTCTTGATAGAGGACTCTGTTGCCCAAGGGAGGTGGTCGGGTACTTACGGTCATGGAAAGCCATTGTGATCGAATGTACACTGAAGGCAGCCGGACTCAATGTAAGAGCAACGCTGCGGGGTATCTAGTAATTCGACTACGACTCGATAGTCGGGAAGGACGCAATAGCTGATTCTAGTGTGCAAGGAGGAAAATGGTACGTGTTGCTCCTGTGTCCGGATGCTGTGCGTACGCAACCTGGCTGAGACCTGCCCAGCTGTAGCTTTTCGACCCCGAAAAGAGTAGTGATATATGAGACCCTTGACTGACGCTCGTTCCTGCTGCGAGGTAGACAAGCCGGGCCGGTTCACTACTGGAAAAGGAAAGCTGATTTCTGACTGTGTACAACGCACGACAGACGTCAAAGTTGTCGGACGTCCTTGGCTGCGAAGGTAGGATGCCGGTGTCGACGTAGGTGGGAACACAAGGCCGCAGGATCGAATGTAGAATGTCCTGACTTCCTGTCCGGCCGATGGTATGCGAATTGGAGCTGGTTGGTAGGGACTTTGGGAGTCTGAGAGTTCAAGATGATGGTGGTGGCCAACGCCGAATGCCGTAGTGTAACCTGGAGTTTTCTTGCGGACTGGTCGTGTCACTTGAGTATAAGCAAGATGTTTTGAGCTAGTGATGCGTGACGAGAATCGGCATATGCAAAGAGATTCCGAGCCTTCAGCGAAGGAGGCAAGGATAGGAATAGAGAGAGAGAGGGGGGGGGGGGGGGGGAAGGAGGATGATCCAATGAGCTGAGTGAAGGAGAGTGAGAGTGTGTGTGTGTGTGGTATGTGAAGGGCGAACCAACCTTGTCCGAGAGACTTGCGTTGAGATGAGCCAGAGACTTGTGGTTGAGTTGGAGGGGGAGCGCCGAGGGAGTGGTTGATCCAATGAGAGATGGTGTTGTTGAGACAATGTAAATGAGCTTCAAAGATCAAGCTGAGCTGAGAGAGAAAGGTAGTATCAGACAACGTAGTGAGTGGGCAAGCAGAATAGACTCGAGATCCTGCAGTAGGCTACATGCAGATATCATAAGATGTCATGCCATGAGCACGCGGGGGGGCGAGACATGGAGGATAATATAAGTAGTATGGCGATGCATACTTGGGGGCCCTACATGGAGCGAGCTGATGCATGAGACGAGAGCAGCAGAGAGACAGAGACAGACAGACAGACAGACGGAACACAACCGGGTACCACCCGCAATCCTCTTGGCCGGGACCATGACCGTGACCAAATTTGGTGGAGAGCTCTCCGCACTTGGAGACAGAGCCAAACACAGATCCAGACAGAGCCAAGACTTTTCAGACGAGTCGCCCCCAGAGGATTAACGGTGCCACACCCCGGGTCATCACCAGGGACGAGCACACGGCAGAAGGACAGAAATAGGGTGGATGGGGAGGGATCTTGGGAGGAGGGGGAGGAACGGGAGAGAAAGACGGAGGGAAAACTTGGGAAAGAGAAGACGCCATACCCTGGTCACAGTCTCTGCGATGTACACTATTTCGGGGTTGTAACCTGTGACTTGGGACGTTTGCGCTATGCCTCCGGCTAATCCACCACCCTGGGGCGGTGCGGTGTCCGCATGGCAATGGAAAGCTTGGCCATTGTTCACGGCATATGTTCTTGGCTATTATTTCGTCTCTGATGGCCTGGTTTGTGTAGAACATAAATGGGGTTGAGATCCAATCGATTGAACATACAGGCGAGGTCGTAGTGTTGATTATTCTTGTCTCCGGCCACCGGGTGGGGGGCTGAAGGACCGTCTCCGTGCGATGGGACGGCCATCTCCGTCAGTCGGGCACTTATCTCCGTCCCCAGCCCACTATGCTCATGGAGAGTCTTACCGAGCCGCTGACAAGTTGAAATGACTGTTTGACAGACAAGGGCAGTGTCCATATTGAACTTTCCGTGTCTAATGCAGCCGTGGAGTAGTGATCCATGCTCTCTTCTCTGTCTTTGGGTCACCCCTACTGGATAGAGAAGCCATGGGAAAACAGTTGAACCAAGGGCGACTCCCGGTTGTGAAACAGTGCTTGTCAGTGTCATCCCTCACAACACTGCCGGAAAGGCAAGGCATCCTGCGTAATCCCACCCCTTCCCTTATTGATCTATATGGTGTGATCGACGGTGATCTGACAGATTGGGTTCATGTCGCTATCTCAATCATAATGCAGACTGCGATGTTTTGCCAATCAGGTAGAGTTTCGAGACTCGGGAATTGTTGACCAGTGTCCATCAATCCACCAGGAAACTCATCGTCGACAGGTGAGAACCAGTGAGAAAGAGAAATGCAAACCAAGCTTTCTGAAAGAGGAGAACAGCGTGTGGTGGTTGCTTACTAAACCCAAAGCAGTTAGCCAGCCAATGTAAGCTCTCAATGAATGTCTGCGTGGCAGCGTAATAGTTGCCGGGCGGGCACTCCCCCTCATGTTTCCCGCACCTTTTCAGAAATGTATGCTCACCTCTTAACACCCCACACAGGTTATAAACCGCCGGGGAAATGACCCGGTTAGTATGAAGTGAACAAGCAACCTGACCAACGCAGAGTTGTAAATAGGCCGAGCACGTCCAAAGCTCGGGTCGCGGTTGCATTCGTGCTCTTTGGATGGACAGGGACATTCTCTGTGCTAGAAGTAGAAGCATATGGGTACACGAATGCCAAGAAAACCAGAATGTTTTCGATATTTGCGGCCACGGCGACTTTGGAGTCTGAGGGGACCAGAAGGGACAAAAAAAGGGGGAGGGGGCCTATCCCATGGACAACCCGGGCCGGAGCCATTACAGCATTACCTACGGATACAGTATCGGGATCCGAGGTGGCAGAGCATACAAACAATTGCAAAGAAGGCCCCGGGTAAGCATCCGGTCCAGGTACGACGATCAAGGAATGCGCCGGCTTCCACAAACATTCGATAAATGAAGTAGAGGATGGGAAGAGGGCTCAAAAGTGCGGATGTAATAAACAAGAGCCAGCAAGAATAGGGCTGTCAGTATTTACCATTCTAGGGAAGATTGCTCAGCCCAGAATACAAAACACGTAATGCACCACAAGGTTCACCGGCTTGGCGTGCAGCAGGCCAGCAGCTCTTCAGCGTTGTACGCGTGCAGAGGCCCTCAGGTCACCAAACCCGCGCACCTACAATGAGAGCATGTTCTCAGACGTTGTTCTTGGCAGTCACTTTGTTGAGGAAACCCAAAGTTTTGCCGTCGTACGGTATTTTCGATGGTCGATCTAAGAGCACGACAGCACTTGGACCCTTGCGCCTCTCTTTCTCTCTCTCTCTCTCTCTCTCTCTCTGAAGTTGTGGAACCCCTGTCGTCGATCAACCCCACAACCGACTAAAACTGGATGTGCTTGTTGTTACTCTCGTTCTACAGAGTGTTCCTGTGGTATCTCATGGTGTCGCATCTCGCCAGATGCGACTTGCCAAGACTTTTGGGAAGAAAGGCCGTCGGCAAGTAAGGTACTGCCTAGACTTCGGCGTCGATGGGCGGACATACCCGTTCGCCTTGATAATGGGTCGACTTTGCTTCTGTACGGATATGACTGTGCCATGAGCCCATGACAGACCACCATCATATATGACTTTAACAACTCCCCGATTCACAGCAAGAACTTTGGCAAGCTTTGACATTCTTCTTATACAGTGACAGGCTGAAATCTTTGGCAGTACTACGTACACATTCACAATTTAGCCTTATAAGTAGCAGACCGTAGATCCTAACATCACTGTTGTTGGGAATTGGAGCAGGAGGGTTACGGTAGGACAACATGTACTGGTATGGGAATATAAGGGTCGTGAGATCACTACGTCATGAGAGCAAAGCATGAACTTGAAACCCAATAGAATAATCCCGACGCCATGCCAAATTTTTATGATCCGATAGCCTCCAGTGGCCTAGTCTCCTAATACACTAAAGTAGTCCGGGTATTGTTCCATCTTAGACCTTGATGGCGTTGTCAAGGGCCTTCTGCTTCTTCTCGGTGCGCTTCTGGGCCTTGGCACCCATGATACCACCACCCCACTGCTTGCGAGCGTTGTCGGTCTTCTCCAAGTATCCGTCCTTGATGGCGGAGACAAGCTTGGAGAGCTCGCTCTTGTCCTCGGAGCGGACCTCGGTGAAAGCGAGGACAGCGGCGGTCTTCTTGTGGACGACGGTTCCGAGGCGGGCCTTGCCCTTGATGATGGCGAAGGGGACACCCATCTTGCGGCAGAGGGCGGGGAGGAAGATAACCAGCTCAATGGGATCAACATCGTTGGGGATGAGGACGAGGGAAGCCTTCTTGTTCTCGATCAGGCCAACAACGTGGTTGAGACCGTACTTGACAGTGTAGGGCTTCTTGGAGACGTCCTCCTTCTTCTTGCCGTCCTTGATGGCGGTGGCCTCCTTGACGAGACGCTCCTTCTTCTCGGCCTTGGTCTCAGGGCGGTACTTGTTGAGGAGCTTGAAAGCCTGGGCGGCAGTGTTGCGGTCGAGGACGTGCTGGAACTGGGCGATCGCAGGAGGGACCTTGAGGCGCATGTTCAAGATCTTCTTCTGGCGCTGAAGACGGACATACTCGGGCCACTTGACCATGCGGGCCAAGTTGCGACGGGGCTGGATGTCCTGACCGATGCCGTAGTTGCGGGGCTTGCGCTCGATGAGAGGGTTCTGCGACCATTGTCAGCCATCTATGGAACTGCGCGCGCGATCACGGGGGGAGTGTGTACTGACCTTAGGAGCCTTCTTGGAGCCAGCCTTTCCCTGAGGGAAAGGGGCGGGAGCCACCTTCTTACCGGACTTGGGAGGCTATCATTGAGAAAGCAAGACATCAGTGAATTGTTCAAATCAACTTGTGTCTTCCTTTGACTCTAAGGAGAAGGACGGAGAAGCATTGGAAGTACATCCAATGCTTCGCCGTCCCTTCCAGCCAAATCATCATCAACAGCCCGTCTCAACAAGCAAGCTTGCTGAGAACCGACGACCGAGATGGAAAGTCACAGTCCGCATGACAGCGAAACTGGATATTGGCCTCGAGGGCAGATGGAGTCGTCTTCGTTCAATGTGTACTCACCATTTTGTCGGTTGTCGTGATACTGCCTTTGGCGGGGATGGATGAAGAGATGGTCAGCAGTCAGAAACACAAATTTCGGGGGACGAAGATAAGACGTTGTTGGTGTGGGCGCAAAAAAATTGGATTAGGGCAAGATGGGGTGGGTACCCGATAAGAAAATGTACAACGTGGGCGTGTGCCTCGACCGTACGGGGGGCTTCGCGTGTTAAAGGTGCCGCTAGGCTTATCTTCACGTGATAGCCATTCCCCTGTCCGATAGGCGACTGACAGGCCTGACAGGCACGGCAGAGCACTCGACCCCACTGCGAGGGAAGATGGAATGTCACTTTCTCGGTGTAGCGGCACCAACTAAAAAGTTCACAGAGACCTGAGCGTGCTACCTCATTGTTGGTCAAGGTATTCACCACCATTGGACCGATTCTCGACAGTAGGTACCCATGGCAAGTTTTAACGCCTACTTTGGTTTGATATTCTAATCCTTACATGTGTTCGCGTGCCGGCTCAACAGTGCAAGCTGGCTGGGTAGAATTGAGACAACAAGTGCGGTACACATGCAAGAGCCTCGTCTCTTGTTTCCTCATTATAAATCAGTTTGGCAGGTCTTGTTATTTCTAACAGACCAGACCTCACTCGGGAGGTACGTAAAATTGGTGAGGTCGATGGATGTGATGGATGACACATCATTAGGTTCTAGAGAGCAAGTCCAGTCGCTTTTCTGTAACCCAGGCACCATACCTAGTTAGTAATGAGTAGCAGGTGTCCGTAGGGAGTATGGTAATTAGTACCTTTGTAAGTGGTCAAACGTCCAGGCACGGAATCCCGCTTTGCGGTACGTACCTACTGGACCGACGATGATGACTCCAAGGCCATTAATGCCACACGGCGACACATGCCATTCTTAAATTTTCCGTAACCTCAATGTAGCAACAACTTCTTTTTTTTCTTCACTGATCCAAGTCCCCAAACCGAGCTCCACTCGAAATACATCTTACGTGGAGGAATTCACGTCCATGTGCAATCTGCTCTCAACTTTTCGATTTAACTCAGTTATCCTGTCTGATCCACCGCGGGGTACCGCTTTCAAAGTTCGTTGATTCAACTGGGGCAAGAACCTTTCGACCGCAGAGTGGCGCTGAACTTTCGACGTTGAAACGACACTGTTCGTCCAGGACGCCTTTCTTTTCACCGGAGACGTTCCTTACTCCTTGCGCGTGGTGTAGCAACCAAGATGGCACCAGTGCTATGCGCAAAGTGCAAAACCGAGCGCGCTCTCGTGAAGCGGCCCAAGAACCACCAGAAGCTTTGCAAGGGCTGTTTTATCTCAGTATTTGAGGAAGAAGTACATCACACCATCGTCTCCTCTTCACTATTTTCTCGGGGAGAGCAAGTAGCTATCGGGGCTTCGGGTGGCAAAGACTCGACCGTCTTAGCAAGTGTCCTCAAAACCCTTAACGACAGGTATGACTACGGCTTGAATCTTGTACTCCTCAGCATCGATGAGGGCATCAAGGGTTACAGAGACGATTCACTCGAAACCGTCAAGAGAAATGCCGTTCAATACGATATGCCCCTTACTATAGTAGGGTACGACGAGTTGTACGGCTGGACGATGGACCAGGTTGTCGAAGTGATTGGAAAGAAAGGCAACTGCACATATTGCGGCGTGTTCCGTCGACAGGCGCTGGACCGTGGAGCCAAGATTCTAAACATTAAACATGTCGTCACGGGCCACAACGCAGATGATGTTGCTGAAACTATCCTCATGAACCTCTTGAGAGGAGATTTGCCACGGCTGGGTCGCAGCACAAGTATCGTCACTGGCGACGATACCAGCGATGTCAAGCGCAGTAAACCCCTCAAGTACTCCTATGAGAAGGAGATTGTGCTGTATGCCCATCATAAGAAGCTCGACTACTTCAGTACCGAATGCATCTACAGCCCCGAAGCATTCCGTGGCACTGCTCGCACCCTAATCAAGAACCTTGAGCGGGTGCGGCCAAGCGCTATTTTGGACATTGTCCGCAGCGGCGAGGACATGGCTCGGCTTGTTGCGGGAGGTTCGAGCAGCTCTTGCGCTTGCAAAGGAAGCGTTCCCCGTGTCGCCGAGGATGACTTTGTTGCTGGCTGCGGCTCGCAGCAAAGCAAAGGCCTCGAGACAGAGATTGCTCAATTGGATACAAGCTTGAGCCAGGCAACTCTGGCCAAATCTCAAGAGACAGACTTCACGCCTGTTCCTTCATCTTCACCAAACACCGCAAAGAAGACTCAAAAACCGTCCGAGACGCCTAAATCTAGACCTGGCCAAGCACAAACAGCTCCAAGTGCTCCCTTACAGACGTTGGGCAAGTGTGAGAGATGCGGCTACATGTCTAGTCAAGCCATCTGCCAAGCTTGTCTGTTGGTGGATGGGTTGAACAAGAATAAAGCGCAGATTCGGTTATAGGGACAATAAAGTCATCGTCTCAAGCCAGATTGCGCAGACAAGTGCCATGTCTTCCCGTGGCCCGTATCCCACCTCCCCCCTTGATGTGATTTGGTGCATGAGTCCGGCTTGGTCGTGTCAAGAATCGCATAGGCCACGGCAGTAGGTTTTGGACTGAACAAGAAATAAAAGTTTCATTGGGTGGCTGAAGTGGACGATGAATAGTGAAAACCCCATGGTTTCCAGACAAAGTAGCATACATTTTTTTTTTGTTTCCCGCCATCCTCTATGACATGCGCTTCTCCAACTGTACGGTATGGTCAGCCAAAGTCCAGCCGATTGTCGTAAGAAAATACGTACTCTCCAAGGGTGGTTCAATTCGAAGCCTGAAGGCGCTTCGTGGTTGGCGACCTGTCCACGCAGATCGCCTGTGAGTCTGCGATCCCGGTCCATCACTATAATACCTTCGTGTTAGCATTCGAACAAACAATTGTGTATATTTCGGATTGATCGGGCACGTACTTTGCTGTAGGAAAGTCAGGTTAGCAATGTAAATCTAAAAGTTATTCCAGGTCATGAGCACTCACCCTATCCCACTGATCCAAGCCCCAACGGGGCTTCTTTCCACCGTTCTGGATGCCCTTGATGACGTGCAGTCCGGTACCAGTGATACCAAACATCTGAATAGGTCATTAGTCTCCCTCGTGAAGGTTGATAATGTTTCGCGCCGGCGCAATGGCTGTCGCAAGGTAGCTCTTACAGCAATCATGATTCCGTAGGGAATCAGAGTCTCGAAAGGGACGGGCATGGTAGCGGTTGGCCGTGCGGCTAGGCGTCGTTGTTCGTCGGTATGGATGTATCGCGAGAGCGCAAGGCTGTTGAGAGATACAGCTTGCAGTCGTCGGTGTCTGCGGGAGACGTTGAATTCCGGCTTCCTTGAATTGACTGGCCAATTGATGGAAGCAATCCGCAAGTCGTCGGGTCCTCGGACTGGGTCTTGCTGAGTCACGTGATACCACAATCGCGTCAGTACCTTTGGGATTGGGGTGATTGGCTGAGTACTGTCAAAGGGTCCCGCAGCTTACCATTGGTCACTGGGGGAGAGATTGAATTGAAGTGGGAACCATCTAGGCATTGTTCTCGTCCCCGGCAACAACCCCCTCCTCCGAGGACCAAGTGCGAACCGAAGCTCAAGGTACCTTTCCGTAGTACCTTACGGATACCTCACTGGATAAACAGCTGAAGCAGTCCCGCAACCCCGTGACCCAGGTACATGTCGTGCCTGCCCACCGTGGAAACCTCACCTTCAACCCCGGCGCGGACACAGTGCTCAGCCGGCTGATTACTGTACGCGCCACAGGTGTTGAAGTCGCATCCCTTGGCTTGCGCCAGTCTGTGAGCTGCCAGTCTGTCAACTATCCGCGTCTCAAAGAAGCCTTGAAAGCCATTGCTGGCTTTCCTACAGTTTAGGAGGAATCTGCGTCAGCCATTTAGCTACGCGTTTGACCCTCTGCCCAGAGACAGCATTCGATCTGTACCAACGACAGTGTATGTCTGTCTGCCGCGCATCGTCGCCTAAGGCCAAACGCGCTCAACTCTCGCAGCAACGCTCGCTCAAGACCAGCCGATTTACCACAATTGTGCGCCAGACTCGCTCGATCCTTTGTCCTTCTTGCTAGCTATGGGCTGCGAATACCGAACTTTTGTCATCTACGGGCAGGATTCGAAACAGTAGCTCCGACAAATAATCGCAATCCGCAAACTCCTGCGGCCTTCGAGCCTCGTCGGCAAGATGGCAAGCGCGCAGCTCACCGAAGAAGAGCTGCAGCAGAGCGCACTTCTCTCAGACGAAGATGCCGAAATCGAAGACGTACTGGCCGCGCCTGCCGAAGACTTGCCTCAGGATACCGAGAGTCCCTTGACGAACCCCAACACGCACGACGACGAACTTTCGGATGCGGTCGGCGATGAAGACGACGAAAGGGACGCGCCTGTCTTGGACGGTGATGTTGAAATGGCTGAGAATGCAGACGATAATAGCGAACTGTCCGAGCAAGACTCTCTAGAAGAGAACCTAGATGAGTATTCTGGTGCCGACATGGATCAGCGCCTGGGTCAAGACGATGGAGACGAAGCTTCGGGCGGTGCGCGCAGTCGCAGCAGCAGCTTGCTAGATGATATTGAGGAGGATGAGGCAGAAGGTGTTGGCGCTGTGAAGATCAGGCCAGGCGAAACCGATGATGAGGAGGCAGATGAGCCGGACAGCGAGCACTCGGAGTCGCACAGTGAGTCTGGCAACGAATCCGAGGGAGACGATGCGTGGGACGAGGTCGCCGTAGAGGAAGAAGAAGACGAAGACGAAGGTTCAGAAGACGCAGCCATGAACACTTGCATGTTCTGCAAACAAGATGAAGAACATGATCCAGCAGAGGACTTCGAAGAGTACTTGGCTTGCGTTGGATGTGGGGAGAACTGTAAGTGCTCTGCATCTTCGGACGGAGCAAGATCGCGCAGAAAGCTAACTAACGTGAATTTAGCACATCAACATTGCGCCAGAGAAGCTGGCGCGTTGCAGGAGCTTAACAGTAATTTCTGCCCTCCTTTGTCAAGCCTTGCTGTGTCTAATTATTTCTTGCAGCTGCTCACCAGTGGAAATGCCCCGATTGCGCGACTGCTGACGATGCACCCGCCGACGACTCTCATAGAAACGCTTCGCACGAATATGCAGAGAAGCATGAAGCTGAGCAAGCGCCAGATGCTGAGCATGATCTTGGACTGTCTCCGTCGTCTAGACGGTCAACAGCATCCCAAGTAGCGCGAGACCTGCTTCCGCCCCAAACAGGCACCTCCAAACCCGACTCTCACTCGGTCTTCAATCATCTTCTTTTGAATGAAGATCCTATGGACGGAACTCGAGTTCTTCGTAAGCGCAAGACGTCTTCTGTCGAAGCCGAGGAAATTGTCATGTCGCTCAGAAAGCGTCGGCGAAACACGTCCAAAGACAGAGAATCAAGCCATGGCGCAGGCACAGCACAAGAGGGTCCCAACGGAGCTGGGGAGAAGGATACACGACGCACGCTACGTCTACATCCCCCTCGAAAGTCGCAAAAAGGGGTTACCATCACTCGACGGACTCGGTCCACCATTATCAAGATGCGTGTAAAGCCATCCGCTCTTCGCCGGGTGCTGTCAAGGAAGTCCTCGTCCAGTCGAAGAAGAACGGAGAAAGTCATGGACACGACCGCTCCATCCCATGATAATTTGGCTGTAGCTATGGCAGCTTCGTTTACTTCTACTGACTACTCACATCCCTTCTATTCCTTCTTGGACCGGGAAACCGACGACGTGAGAACAAAGCCGTACGGAGGCATTCTCGATGAGAACGAAGCTGACACATCACGGACTTTACCGACCAATGATGACCGTCGAAAATTCGATGAGGCCAAACAAAAAGCCGAGGAGGTATGGCGAGCTCGCCTTCACAGCATCCAACTTAACCTAGCGACACCGGCCAAGAGGCCCAAGAAAAATGCTGGACCAGCGAGCCAGATTGAGTGCATTGATTTTGGAGGCTGGGAAATCGACACTTGGTATGCCGCTCCCTATCCCGAGGAGTACAGCCGGAACCGCACTCTCTACATTTGCGAATTCTGTCTGAAGTACATGAACTCGGATTATGTCGCCTGGCGTCACAAACTCAAGTGTCCAGCCAAGCACCCACCGGGCGACGAGATATACCGGCATGGATCAGTTTCCGTCTTCGAGGTTGACGGCCGGAAAAACCCGGTCTACTGCCAGAACCTCTGTCTCCTCGCCAAGCTATTCTTGGGGTCCAAAACGCTCTATTACGATGTCGAGCCTTTCCTTTTCTACGTATTATGCGAATACGATGCTCTTGGCTACCATTTCGTTGGGTACTTCTCCAAGGAGAAAAGAGCCAGCAGCCAGAACAACGTTTCTTGCATTTTAACACTGCCCATACACCAGCGAAAAGGCTACGGCAACCTCCTGATTGACTTTTCATACTTGCTCACTCGCGTGGAGCGCAAGACTGGATCACCTGAAAAGCCTCTTTCGGACATGGGTCTCGTCTCGTACCGCAACTACTGGAGGCTGGTACTCTGCCGGTATCTCCTTGACCATGTCGAAGAGGATAAATCTACGGCACCGGGCCTCAGTGTTCGACAAATGTCCGACGATACAGGACTGACTCCTGACGATGTTATTTCTGCCCTCGAAGGTCTCCGGTGTCTCGTCCGTGATCCATTTACGGAGCTATATGCCTTCCGTGTCGACCTTTCGTACTGTAACGAATACATAGCAAAATGGGAGAGTAAGAATTACGTCAAACTGAATCCAGACGCGCTCACCTGGACTCCGTACGTCATGGGGCGAGGCAATGCTACAAACTTTGAGTTGGGCCCAGCTATCAGCGCGATTGCACCACGGGAGGAAGATGACATTCACAAACCTGTACAGAGTGCATCGCTACCAGCCCCTCAACAAGAGACAGCAGCCAATGGCACTGCCGACAAACCTTCTGTTGCCGAAGGCGGCTCATCGACCATCGCTGAAGATGCTGATGCAGACGCAACTGGGTCGACTGTGGAGCCCAACATTTACGAATCCACAGAGCCACATCAAGACGGTCTGGTGAACGGCGAGGCTGGACTAGAACAGGGCGATGAAGAGCCGTCCCAGCTCAAGGAAGTGCTCAAATCCACTCCCGAACAACCGTTCGAAGGCGACTGGGCCACCTTGTACAAAGACGTGCCACCATCGAGGTTCGAGGTGTATCCGCCTCCTGGCGGTCGTCGGTCCGACCGGCCGCGACCCAGTGTACCTCGGCCTGTTGTTGCACGAACAACGAGCAGCAACTCCAGGCAACGGCAGTCGGGTGGCGGCGGCAGCAGCAGCGCGAGACGGACCACATCGAGCCGTCCCAAGAGCAAAAGCTCATCGTCGTCGTCACGGCGGAAAACGGGAGGAACGGGCCGTGGACCAGGCCGTTGGCCGAAGGGTACCAAGAAAAGCGATTACGGCAATGCCGACAGTGGGCCCGGTCTCCCGCCGGGTTGGCTCAGAGAAAAACAAGAGAAACAGCGGCTGGCTGGCCTTCCGGTGACGAATGGCAAAGAGGTCGAAGGCCTCGCCGCTGAGGTCAACGAGACGATGGATGTGGTTCGCGTGCAGTTTCAGGAAGGCGAACACAAGGACGCTGGCGCCGAGGAAGCAGGAAGCGACCTCAATGGTGACGTTGGCGGCCAAGCAGAGAACGAGTGATGCCTAACAGCCGATACCCCCTGACACTATTATTATTCCTAGTCTCATTTCGAGCCGACCTGTAACATATTGTTTCTAGTAATGCAAGCGCAGCAACTATTCGTCGATCTCTGTTCTCTACGGTTCTTATTCAACCTGACAGCACTGGGGCGACGTGATCGGTCAGTGACTCTATTGCGGCTGAAGGTAGTATGGAGAGATATTAGCAGTACTATCAGTAGATGCATGCCTTGGAGCTAAATCATTGATTTTTGTTTACACGTATATTTAGGCACCTTGCATACGTGAAGGCGACGTCAGACAAGTCTTGTAACGGGCGCGCCATTTGAATTAAGTGTGGTCAGTACAGGCAATAACCTAGAGGTGGGCATTAATGAGCATTGAGTTGTAGCTGACTGTTGTCTGGTTCTGATTTCTGTGGCACCCATACTTTGCCAGCCACACGGTATAGTGAATCTCAACATTCGTGATGCTCCGTTTGATAAGGGGACACTGGCTTCCTGTTTTGCTCCGTCACTCACGACTGTGTCTCCGGCTACCTGAGGACTTTACGATAGGTACTGTACCTCCGCACTACTTAGCTACCTCGACCGCAGAGGAGCCGAAGCTAAACTCACTCAGCCTCCCATGATTACATGGCCGCAGCCTCCGATGTGGCGACCTTCTCCAACCGCCAGAGATTTGAGCACGCGTAATTATTCTCAGTTCAGGTAAGTACGTGAAGTCCTTGTATGGAGGTCCATATGGACGAGCAGAGACAAATTTCCCGCGGGGATATCTGGAGGTGAATATATATGCCTTCCAGTAAAAGGGCGATGCGTCGATTTATCCGCAGGCAATACATTGGTAAAAGGTATTAGCTTGGGTAAAAATAACTGCCCATGGATAAGTACCTTGGGTGGTTGGCAAGGTTGGGTCCGGCATCAGGGTATCCGCCAGCCGCGTATCCGTAGGCGTCGCTGATCGGGTCTACTCCGTACTTATACCTTAACCACAAGGCACATGCTTAAAAACGTAGGTCGGGTAGCTTTCTGCTCGCTTATGAGATGTGAGGTACCTTTCGTACTCAAGACGTGCAGAAGTACATCCTGCCGCATGTTGTTCGAGGCATACCGCCAGCTTTGCGCTCCCAGTATGGAACTTGGGGCATCCGCTACACGACATGATATTATTCGAGTCAACTTACCTCACCATATGTCTAGTTGATAACCTCTCATTCTAGTGAGATCGTTTCGAGTTCACATCCCATCCAGGTGATTGTAAAGTCAGTCAATGTACGTGTACTTTGTTGGATGAGGTACCGACACAGCCTTCTGGCCCCACACTGGACTTCCAGGTTCCATTGCGTGGGACAGACGGCAGAAGGTGCTCCAGCGCTCCAGAGTCTTGGACCCCCCGAGTCGCAGTCTCCGTCTCCGACCGCCCGGCCAAGTTGCATTACGCACACGCACTCGCCGCACCGCCAGAGACGTGAAGTGTGACACTCAGGTCGTCACTCCCGCCCAGTGCCAAGTGCCCAGTGCCCAGTGTCAAAGTCAGTGCCAGACTGCCAGTGCCAACCGAACCGGGACCTTTCTGGCTGTTCGGGCTGCCCTTTTGCCTTCCAAGTTCCACGTTGCTTCCCTCAGGTCGCCCAACTTTTACAAACTTTAATGCTTCATCTCCAGAACTTCCATCTCCGACCAACGCGACCCTCTCAAACACAAACGAGCGACATCTTCGTCGACAAAATCTAACCCAGTAGCTAGCTAGGAAGCCCTTCCGTCCCTGCAGTTTGCTGGGCTCCGCTATCCGCCGTCATCTGGCCTGTCTCCTCACCCCAACCACTGGCGAAGTCGGCCTTCACGACCCGTTCACCCCCCTCCGCCGACCTGACCCTTCGTCTGCCAACGCTCTGCGCTAAGCCGCCCTTCGATTCGTCGGACCAAGCTGTCGTCACAAGCGCCCCTCCCACCTCCAACCTTTGCTTTCCATCCATCATCAGCCTGTCTCTCCGCTGCGCTCTTATCCAACCTTCCGACAACACTGTCAATCATTCCCCGTGCTATTGCTCGTCGCATCAGCAATCGCCTGCGTTGGGCTCAAGCTCTCCGTTGCCGCCTCAATCGCACCCAGCTACATCACGTCGCTGTCGTCACTTTCTCCCTGCGCATCCGACAGCCCACTTTCTCCCGAACAATACCCAACCTCCCTACCTTACGGGAACCGGACTTGGCATCGCCTGCCAATCCATCGCACATCATCCACTGACAAAACAACACCTTCGGACGGACTGACGACGATAATACCGCCAAAATGTCGAAGGTTATGCGAAGTGTCAAGAACGTGACCAAGGGTTACTCCAGTGTCCAGGTCAAAGTCAGAGAAGGTGAGTCGCAGCTTTCCCAAGCAGTTATCCTCCTCTCCTCTCCGGATTTCTTTCTGACAATCGTCTCTCAGCAACCAGCAACGACCCATGGGGGCCTACCGGAACTCAGATGAGCGAAATTGCTCAGCTCACGTACAACACGTAGGCTTTGCCTGACTGACAGACCCTGGGATTATGCTAAATTTATAAAACAGATCTACCGAATTCTACGAAATCATGGACATGCTTGACAAGCGTTTGAATGACAAGGGGAAAAACTGGAGGCACGTCTTAAAGGCTCTCAAGGTGCTCGACTACTGTCTGCATGAGGGTTCTGAACTTGTCGTCACCTGGGCGAGACAGAGCATCTACATCATCAAGACATTGCGCGAGTTCCAATACATTGATGAAGACGGCAGAGATGTTGGTCAAAATGGTATGCGCTCTTCCTACCATTCCCGGTGCATTTACTTGAGTCAATCCTCGGTATTTCTAACATAGTCGCCAGTGCGTGTTGCCGCCAAGGAACTTACGTCACTCATTCTGGACGAGGAGAGGCTTCGAGCCGAGAGAAGCGATCGCAAGTCATGGAAGTCCCGCGTCACTGGTCTCGAAGAGTTCGCTCCTCAGCACACCAGCCCTACTCAGCCGCGGGTCCGCCGCCGTATGAGCAACGAAGACGATACCGAGTACAGACTTGCCATTGAGGCTAGCAAGCACCAGGAGGAAGAGGACCGCCGCAAACGAGCGGGTCGTGGCGCCCACGAGACTGAGGACGATGACCTAGCTAAGGCGATCAAACTAAGCAAAGAGGAGGACGAGCGACGCAGACGAGAAATGGAAGATAGCAACAACGCCTCACTCCTCTTCGATGACACCCCTGTGCAGTCAACCCAGCCACAGTACACCGGATTCAACCAAGGCTACCAGCAAGGCAGTGCTGTAGACTTCTTCGCCAACCCCATCGATCAGAACCAGCTTCAGACGCAGCCCACAGGTTACATGAACAACGCGTACACCGGATTCCAGCAGCCGCAGGCGACAGGTTTTCAGAACGGCTACGGCGGCAACGGTTTCGGCATGGGGATGGACCCGTATGGACAACAGCAACAGGGTTTCCAGCCGCAGCCAACGGGCTACAACCCTTATGCTCAGCAGAATGTTACCCCTCAGGAGACTGCTTCGCAGCCAGGAAGCAACAACCCTTGGTCAACAGGCTCGATGAAGACGGGCAACCCAATGAAGCCAATGCAAACGGGTTCCAACAACCCATTCGCGTCCTCATTTGGTCGTCCTCAGACACAATCTTCTATGCCCCCCTTGCCGGAACAGAAGACACTCTCAGCTTTCAGCCAACCCAGCTTCGCTCAGCAGCAGCAGCAGCAGCAGCAGCAGCAGCAGCCACCGCCTCAGCAGATCCAGCAACCTCAACTGACGGCACAGCCATCTTTCGGAACTCCTCAAAAGGAGCTTACAGACCACGAAGCCAAGCTCAATGCGCTACTTGCTGGAGGAGATGGCATGGACACATACGGCAACACCGGTCAGACACGTATTCCCGCGCAGCACACCGCCCCTGGGACGTTTGTCAACAGCGCCGGCTCTGGGGCTCAGCGACTCACTGCAGAAGCGACAGGAAGCAACCCGTTCCTCCGATCACAATTCACAGGCATGCCTAGCATGTCATATGGGCAGCAAATGCCGGCTGCTACAGGACCCGCAGGTATCAATGGCAGTAACAACCCGTTCGCGGTCGGAAGACCACAGCAGCAAAATACTCAGCCGCAGGACCTTATTCAGTTCTAGGTTACGACGTTACTGGGGATATGCTGCCGGGCTGAAGCAGGCGCTTGATCATCGGCGCCATTCAAGCCAACGATTGTCTGCACTAAGGTTCAAAAGGGTTCTTTTCTATTTTATTTTTTAGAGTCTGGGGGACGCGGAGGTTTTATCTTGCGGTGCGGTCACATACCCGTCAGAGGACGCAACTTGTTCCTGTTCATAGTTGGCCGGCGGTTTGCTTCATTTTACATTTACACAGCTTGCCTATAGTGCTCTTCAATGAGCCATTTATGATTTTTTTTGAACCTCGCCACGGCATGTAACACGAAGCCAAGAACGGTTGCCTGCATATGCATTCAGTGATGAGTTATAGAGGAGTTTGATGTCATCTCATGACGACTGCGCACGACGCTAGGTTTTATTTGCAAGATTTGAGATCACTCCTGCCCAGTATGTTGGCCGAATAGTCCCTGTGACTATGGGTTCCTGGTAAAAGGGGCACGGCGAAATTGTGTTCTAGGTGAATGACCACGATGAGTGTGTAGGATATGGATGAATGATGCGCAGCTAGATTTCTGACAAATGCATGGAATCCAGGCTGTTTCTTCTCCAACGAAAGATAATTCAACCAATTGAGACCGAAATGTGGGGAGTTTGAGTAGTTAAGTATGCCGTGCGAGCCCTACATATTAGAGTATGAATCAACATAGGTAGGAGAAACGTGATCTGATGACCTAGCAGGCGTTCTCGCGGTTTTCGATGGTGTCTACGACTGGATGATTGCAAATGTACCCTTACTAATAAAACTAGGCGGAGGCTACTTTGCGGGTGGCTCTGCCTACAACTGCCTGGAACAGATTCCTAGCTTGATGATTGGTTGATTTGACCAAGCT